GCACAACTAAGTTGCTACCCTGCGACTCAGAATCAATAAACCTTCTTTAAAAATACTGGGTGCACCAGCATGCTACAACACCTTTTATGTTTTCACACACTCATATGACCATAAGTATATACACAGCGTTCTCCACTACAGGGCCTCAGAACTGGCTCACAGTCGTTCATAGCAGGCGGCTTTAGGTATATGAATAGCAATTTTGAAATCCATTTTTTTGGCCAATAGGTCCTATTCATAGAACCATCATCCACTGAAGTAAATGAGGATGTAATAGAAAGCTGAGTAAAAAAAAAAAAGCATTAAGAGGGTTTCAAAGAAAACACTTTAAAAGGACCCATAATTAGAGCAGCCTGGTTCCAGGTGTGAGCTATAAAACTGTGGATTTCCTATAGTTTGGGCCATGCCCGGGGACCCATTTGACCTAGAATCCTTCAACAGGATGAAAAGCCCTAGAGCATAAGGCTAAAATGAAAGCCTTACTTACCCCACTGTGACAAGTTTGAAGGAAATCAATCATGCTACTTAATGTTAATAGTTATATATAATTTAGACAAAGACAGTCCTTTGCGTGTTTTTCTCATATAATGTTTGTTGCTATTGGCATTGCTGTATAGTTACCAAATGAGCCATAGTTTTCAAATTCTGCAATTTAAAATCGGTCTCGTTGAGTTGTGCTGCTTTGCAAAAAGGCTTCTGTGCAGTAAGTGTGTTTTATCAAAGACTTCCCTGCGAGGTGCACTGGGTTGCTTGTTGGAGAAAGGTGAGAGGCAGAAGCAGGGAGTTGCTAAGTGTGAGTATATAATAACTACCTGGCTATGAAAAGCAAACCATGACAGCATATTATATCTCTTAGCTCATTAATTTACAGATACAAGCTCCTTTTTCTTCTTTTTTTTTTTACATCACTCAAAGGCTCTGCAGACAGAATGAAGCAGTCAGAAACCATGGTTCAAAAGACTGGCTTCAGATGGCACCGCTCAGCCACCTTTGGCACATATGTGCTCCAGAGCAAGGACAATTATGATACTACAGTAAAAATATGCAAAACTTATTTGCTAAAGGTAACGACAAAGTATCATAATAAAGTGCTTACTGAACACCAGTTACATCATAGCAGGATATGTAAGACATAAATGAACTCACACAACAAGCACAATCTGAGCATAGAAAGAATCTTGTCTAGTTGGTCCCAAGGAGATATCACCTTGGAGCTTTCTGAAAATGCAGGTCCCTAGGCCCCATTCACAGAAATTGTGATACAATAGGCTGAGGTTAATGTACTTGGTTTCTTCCACTATTTCTCCTATAACATGGATTTCAGTTTCCATAGCTCCGTGAAGGGACTAAGTAATACCTATCTATAAGATTCCTCCTAAACACTATTTCAGCTGCATCCCACAGGTTTTTATATGTTGTATTTTCATTTTCATTCAGTTCTGTATTTTCAATTTCAACCTTAGTCTGCTTGCTCTACAAATTACTTACATATTTCACCAGATATGCATTTTGCTATTTTCCTTGCGGCCCGACAAGCATGGGTATTCTCACTCTTTAATTTCTGCCAATATGAAGGAGAAGTGAGAGTTGACTGCTTTTTCCTTAACGAGTAATAAGCCAATCATGTAAGAACTTAGGGACAGACCCTTCCAGACAGAGGAAACTGACAATACCAGTACAGAGGGGTTGGGCTGAAAATAAGCTGAGTGTTTTCAAGGATCTGAAAGGCCACTGTGGCTGGAATATTATGAGCAGGGCGACAGTAGATATGACAAGGCTGGAGAGAATGCCACGTCACAGCATGGAGGGCATGGTAAATTGATAGCGTTTAGATTTGTATGTCAAACATGACTGGAAGCCATTAGAGAGCTTGAAGCAGAGGATGGACATGGATTCTGACATACCTTTTAAAATGACCACTCTGACTACTGTGTCAAGGATGGGTTGCTGGTGCTATAGGCAGGAATAGGAACACCAGTTGGCAGGCCACACAATAATATGAATGGACATGGTGGTTTGGATACAGTGGAGCAATGGAGAGGGAGGGAAGATGACAAAGCAAATATTTTTGAAAGTAGAGTCCATAGGACTTACTAATGAACTGGATATGGGGCATGAAAGAAGGAGGGGTATAAAACAAGATGGTTTATGCAGTTTTTTACTTGAACAACAGGGCACAAATCTATTTGAAATGGGTAAGATGAAAGGTATAAGTCTGGGTTTTGCAAACATCTTTTCTTTGTCAGCTTAGAGGTATTCTGTAGGAGAGCAGGGTAACCATATGTTCTATCTGCTTTCTCAGATCATAAATCATCTTAGAATTAAGAATCATGTCCAGAATTAATGTCTAGTTCATTGGCATATAATATGCAGAATCCATTTCCTTCGTATTTTAAAAGAAATTTATCCACATTTAGCCTTCTGGCACCTCCACAGTTGTCTACAAATCCTCAAGGCTAACAGTAAAGGTTTTTCGGCCTTATCCATAGGAACTGTTTGGACATAGAGATGTATAAAAACAAGCTGAAAGAACCGAATTTGCATATCTATATCTATGTATACGAATGTGTGTCCATACACATTTTAAATAAACTCTTCACCTATCTTTTGCTTCTGTTTTATTGTAAAAATGGTTGTTCTACTCTTTCTAGACCAAAGATCCTTCTTCTTGAGAAGAAAATAACTGAGGAGTGTTTCATTCTCCTTGCCCATGCGCTAGTGCATCTTAGGTCCTAAATAATAAGCCTATCCTTGATTTGCCCTTAGCCTTTAAACAAAATCAGATAAGCTATTTCAGTCATCCATAGCATGTTTTAAAACCTCAGCCTATTTTGGACTTTAGTATATTTGATAGTATTCTTGCTGTTCTTTGAAATTCTCTCATATATACCCTTTGATGTATCTTCTTATTTCTGCAGTCACAATTGAAAGAATCCTCCCTTAATTTGTCAACTGATTTGTTTGCATGGTCAGAAATTATATGTTTGATAGTTTCCAGGCTCTTTTGACTCTTATCTTTTTGAGTCTTAGATCAGAAATACATGCTTCTCTTTTCTCAAGTTTTGGTTACACATCTAATTATGACTAATTTTTCATTTGTCAGAACGAGGCTGAACATGACACCTCCACTGGCTGTCTTCATCTCCTTTCAGGGAATTTAATGCTAGCAGCAGGCACTCAAGGATTCTTAAGAGCAGAATAAGACTTCCAGCTTTCCTTTGTCTCTGATTTTACCAAAATGCTCTCCAGTAAAACAACAGCAAGTGAGAATGCGTCTCCCTTAAGTCTGACAACCATCCAATGAAGTTTTCTTAAGAAAGGCTAGGGAAACAGGCTTAGCGAGGGTATATTATTTATCCAAGTTCATACAACTAATGTGAGTGGCAGAGCTGAGATTCAATCCCGGTCTCATTGCAGTGCTTGGGCTATGAAATCACTGCACTGCATTGTCTTGTAATGATTCATTCCCAGGAGTATGGAATTCCATGCTTGTGCATATTTTCCTGACATACATCATTACTTCGTGTCCTAGGAAATCTACTTTTCAAAAAGGCAGTACAAATTCAATGTTTCTAAAGTCAGTTGGACGTGCAGTGCCACAAGATGTCTTTTCTGTGTTTTCCTTGTCATATCTCTCTCTGCCCCCCCCCTTCTCTTTCTTTCTCCAGCAAAGTGTAGTGAGATGGGAAGTGGAAGGCAGTGGTTATAAATCCCAACTACAGCCATGTGGCCAGTTGCAGAGATGAGAACTGCAATAATTATGAATATTTCTTCCTTACTCTGTTATGGGTATGTTTGTATATGTATATTAATTAATTATTTTTCTTTTCTCTCTTATCCCTTTATCACCTAACTTAAGATGCACAAGTAATAATTACCTTTATACCACAGCACTGACATCATAGGACCTCAATGAGAAGAGTGACCATCACCCAGGACTTCACATTCTCTTGTGGAAATGGGTTAGCATGTTTCAGGTGTATGTGGGAGAAGTTGTACTATGTTAGTATGCCTTTTATTTTGTTTATTTGGAGGTTAAATATGGTTTAAGGAGAGGTACCTGGTGCTAAGTTGACAAGGGGTGGGCTATGATGGTCTTTTTGATATGCCAACTTGGCTAGGCTACAGTCCCCAGCTAACTAAGCACGAAACTAGGTGAAGGTTATTTTGCAGATGTGATTACAATCCCCCAAATCTTAGGCAATCTGGATGGGCCTCATTCAATTTCTGGAAAAGTCTTTAAAGCAGAGCTGAGGCTTCCCTGAAAATGCAGCTTCAGCCTGTCCCTGAGCTTTCTGCCCGTTCTTCCTGCAGCCAGCCATGAACTTCAGGTTGGCCTGGCCTAAGCCGATTCCTTGCAATATGTCTCATAATATATATCTCCTATTGGTTCTGTTTCTCTGGTTGACCCTGACTAATACAATCCTTCACCATGCCACATCATAGAACAAAGAAAAATTCTTTTCCCATCAAATAGCCCAGGGCTCAGATTCAAGGTTAAAGGATTAAGGCTTGCATACACTGTTTACCAAAGAAGAAAATGCCAAATAGCAAAAGCAGCACAAAAATCAATCCTCTGCACCACAGGAGCAATATGAAAAGCAAATGAGTTGAGTTCAATATAAAATTTTCTCTGTGGGATTATAAAAAATTAGCACTGTTTCATATGTAATATTCAGTTCTTCTGAGACAGGCATCCACCTACAACAAACCACCATGGGCCAATCAGGATCACAACCACATCCTCAGACACTTTATGATCAAAAAATATGCTCAGAAATACAGTCATTATTTCTTTTCATCTTATCTTCAAACAAACCTCCAGTTACCCTATCTACCCAGGAATCCCTCCATATAGACTACTACAAATAAAAGAATGCACTTGTTTTCCAAACTTCTGTGTTTTTATGTTTGTCCTGTGTGTATTCAATTGTCCCGAATCCAAAAATAAATTTTTAAAGTATACTCAGGTAGTTCGAAAGCTATTGCTAATTAAAAATAAAAACCTTTTACAGCATCTAAACATTTTATGTCCTTTCAAAGAGAACTCTTGGGATGTCTGAAAACAAGAATAAATAAATCAAATTAATAATTACTAGTCTTAACCTTGCTCTCTCCACTCTTTTACATATAAAAGCCTTATACATCAATGTGATGTTTTGGTAAAATGCTTTTGGCTTCCATCCATTTTGTCTTAGCTCTCACTCCCTCTTCCCACTGAGAAGCAATACTTAGATGTATAAATGAAACACAGCCGTATGTTTATAGATTCCTTTTATAGAAATATCTTATGTAGTTGTAGAATGAAAAAAAGAATCAAGACCTGGATATATTTTATCAATTAGGTCATAATATCCAAAAACAGTCCATTGAATTCTACCAAAGATTTGACATGACAACTAAATCTGCAGTTGTAGGCTTCAGGCTAATCTCTATTTATTGCAAGAAAAAAAATGCTAAAAAATAAGTGATACTTTTAACCAGCTGATACCTCCAAGACTACTGTCTTTCTCTATCTCCTGGGAAACAATGTTCACTATCCAAGATGCCACCTCTGCTCCATATTGTGACAAGAACCCATATGTTGCAGATTGGAACAGGCTAGGCAGTCACTGTCTAAAAAGAAATCAAACTGCTCTTATTCCAAATAAACCTGGAAATGAGGTTATCGAAGCAAACTGACTCAAGTGGCAATGAAACGTCCAACTCCCCAATCCCACTAACATTACTGAAGAAAAGTACTTTCCCAAAGATTTGTGTAAGTACATAGAGCGAAGGGTGAAAACTACCACTATTCAGTCTTTTTGCTGTTTGTGTACAGCAGATAAAGTGTAAGTGTATCTACAATTTATTGTCCAACTCCTTGTATTTAACCAGTTGTAGCACCAATATTCTTCAGGAATTTCTCTAATTTCTATAGATGATGCTCTCTACCTCTGAGCCTTATCTACATGGAAAAATGCTATGCAGCTAAAGAATTTAACATCCTGAAAATCCATGAATTGCTATTTTAGAAAATATTTATCTCACAAATTCAATATATACTGAGACAAAAAATGTGATTAAAAATTATCCAGAGCCAAAAATTATCCAGAGCTAAATTATTAGCTTCTTCATGTGGAAGCTAATTCGAAGGACACCACATACAAGGGGGCAGTGGGTTTGTCTTTTCCTATTTGAATGCTATCAACCTGCACAGTTCAGCACATGCAGATAATAGTATGGAAGAGCCCTGAGCAGTCTTGTGCTTCAGTGTTTTAGCCATCATTTAAAAACCAGTGGTTGTGACAAGGGTAGAGGATGGAGGTGCCTCAGTATAGAATGTAAGAATACAGTACAGAATGTAAGATAATTGGTGTGCCAATGATCAATGATAATTAAAAATAACTGTAAAATGATATTCCAAAATTGACCACCAAAGTAGCTCTAGCAACTTGCATGCCTACAAGCAGTGTATCAAAGTACCTGTTTCTCCACACCCTTGTTAACACGTGATATTACTACACTTTTCAATGTTATGTTTTTGTTGTTTTTAATTTTCATCTTTCCAGGATTACTTATAAGATGATTTTATATATGTACTGGTTATTTGGATTTACTCTTCCAAGAGTTGCCTATTTGAGGTAGTTTATCTTATCAATTCTAAGGAATTTCTATATTATGAATGCAATACTTTTTATTGATCAACTTTTGGTAACTTATTATACCTTCCCTTGAGGCTATTCCAAGTATCTCCATCCTCCTCCTAGATGTTACTCTGTCACCTTTCTTAGTTGATGCTATAATGAGGAAATTAAGATTTTAAAAAATCCATTCCACAAATATTTCATGAGTACCTACTATCTACTGAAGATACCATCTTTATAACATAGATGGTATAACATATCATATGTAACAAGACAATTATAATCCTTGCACTCACGAAGTTTACAATTGGGTGGTAGTATATGGGACCTAAGAGTACTGACACAGGGAACAATGGGGTGATCAGAGAAGTATCCACTCAGGAGATGATGTTTAAGCTTTCATCTAAAGAAGTTAACAGGAGGAAGGACAGGATTAAAGTGTTAAGGGCAGCTATAGGTATGGTGCAGCATGTACTAGAAACTGAAATGACAACCAAGACCAAATGAAGTTGGAACACAGGATACAAGGAAAAAAGTGCAGAGTCAAGATAGGAGAACATAAAGGCCGTGGTAAGAAATTAGAATTTTAAGTAAAATGGGAGTAGGGGTCACTAAATGTTTAGAAGGGGAGTGGTATGAGATGAGGTAAGCCAGAGTTCATGCAGAACACCATGCCAGTCAAGGAGTTCAGCCTTTATTCTACATGCCCCACATATGCTGTGTGATTTCCTTCCTTTACGTCTACTCTTTCATGTTTTCTCCCACCTGAAACACACACATACACACACCTATTGATACACCTACCTATCAAAATTCTAGGACTTAATCTCAAATATTACCTCTTCTACAAACCTCTTCTTAGTTTATTTGTATTCTTTTATAGCCCTTGTAGTCTATAGATGATCAATATTTATATATGTGCCTTACTCCACTATTAGAGTACTTGAACTAGGGGCTTTTTTACATCTCCTGTAGTACTTAGCGAGCCAGGTTTTGTTTTGTTTTGTTTTTAAATAAAGGTCATCTTTGCATAGCCAACAAACAAATCTCAAGCAAACTAAGTAAAAAACAAACTAGAGAACCTATAAGCAATAAGAGTTACTCGTGAATTTTTAAGTCATTACCATCTCTCATGTGATAATTATCTTCCAATGGTTGGCTCAGCTGTGCCCCACTATTTGCTCCTACTTGTCATTAAGGCCTCACATATTATTCATTCTCATTCTATAGCATTTATGCAGGAAGGCAGCAATGTAAGCTCCCTTGCCTGTGATTCTTCCCACAGATAATAGAAAATAAATTGCAATTAGATTTTGGTAATTGTATATAATTAACTCAAAATGAGCTGTTAATTATAAAAAATATGTTTTTTACTTCCTCGTTATCTCATTTATTTTAGTTCCAAATTCTTAATGCCTCACTCGAGTCAGTTTAATATTTTAAATACATAATATTTTTAATACTAAGATAATTTAAATTTCCAAATAAACAAAACTTAGCTTAAAATTAAATTTTATCTGGGGAGTTCTACTGGCAAATGATTCTCAAACACTTAGATGCAGTTAACATTTAAAATTTTTTTAAATATATGTATTTTTATTGACTTTGGAGAGGAAGGGAGAGGGGGAGAGAGAGAGAGAGAGAAACATCAATGATGAGGGGAAATCATTGAGCGGCTATCTCCTGCACACTCCCTACTGGGGATGGAGCCCGCAATCTGGGCACGTGCCCTTGACTGGAATCGAACCCAGGACCCTTCAGTCCACAGGCTAACACTCTATCCACTGAGCCAAACCAGCTAGGGCTGCAGTTAACATTTTAAAATGCCTTTATCAAATACACATTAGGAAATACTTGTTTGAAAGTAGTGCATGGTTCTATCTTATTTTTGTCATAATTATCTGAATGTAGGACATGGATGCCCAAGTGTACCTGAATTTTTAAAGCACATCCATCTCTTAGACTAAAGCACTAGCTTCCAAAGCATTCACTACACTTACTGAACAGCAGTAATGAAAACTTTCATAAACTGCAAGTGGGAGTATGAATTGCTGCAACTTTTTGCAAAAGAAAATTGGTATTGAATCTTGTAATTTATAATTATAAATTACATAGAAATATTTGTATGTAGAAGTAACAATTCTGAGGAATTTATCCTAATAAACAGATGTAGCAGAATACAAGAATAAGTACAGTCATGATTGTTATAGCATTGTGTAGTGGTAAAAACTTGAAATAATTTGAATGTCCAACAATGGAAGTGCTGGATATGTTAACAGTGTTCACAGAAACCATGGACTGTTATGCATTTATAAGAAACGAGTTAGCATTTGAATTAGTTTTCTATTGCTGCTATAACAAATTATCACAAGTTTAGTGGCTTAAGCAACACGAATTTATTATTCTATACTTCTGTAGATCAGAAGTCTGACACAGGTCTCATGGGCTAATACTGGGTATTGGCTAGGTTTATGTTCCTTTCTGAAGGCTATTCCCTTGCTCATTCGGGTTGTTGGCAGAACAACTGAGCACCCCATATCCTTGCTGGCTGCCAGCTGACGACTGCTCTGAGCTTCTAAAGGCTGCCTGCACTCCTTGGCTTGTGACCTCCTTCTCCATCTTCAGTGCCGGCAATGGCAAGTGAAGTCATTCTCATGCTTGGAATCTTCCTCTCTCCATCTCATCTCTCTGACCCAGCAAGAAAAGACTCCTCAGTTTCCAGGACTCATGTGATTAGACTGAGACTCCCCAGATAATCCAGGATAATATCCCATCTCAAGGTCTAATCCCTTCATTATATCTAAATAGTCCCTTTACCATGTAAGGTAACATATTGAGAGGTTCCCGGGATTAGGACACAGACACCTTTGGGGGCAATTATTCTGCTTACCATAGTTCTATATCTAAAAATCTGATAGATGACCATGAAGTACTGTTGAGTGGGGGGTGGGGGTGGGGATTAACAAGTAATGTGTTCAGTTTGATCTCAAATATTTATAGATATTGTACATATATAGAGGCATAAAGAAAGGTATAGAAGGATACTAACATGAATTCAACAAAGACAATCAGAATAGGGAATAGAATGAGGAATGAAATATGACAGGTCATTTCTTGATGTGTTTTTGGATGTTCTACTTTTTATAATAAAATATTTTTCTTTTGAAATTTAGCAAAGTTTGATTAAAAATAAAATGGAATATGGAAAAGCACTTGAGACCTAGCTTCCCAGCACTGTTATTAGTTTGGCTTAAATAAACTCATTTTAAAAAAAGGAGAAATATGAAACAAAATGTATAATATAAAAACCGAGCTCATGCTCGGCCGGCGTGACTCAGTGGTTGAGCATAGACCTGTGAACCAGGAGGTCACTGGTTCAATTCCTGGTCAGGGCACATGCCTGGACTGCGGGCTGGATCCCCAGTGGGGGGTGGGGGGGTAAAGGAGGCAGCCAATCAATGATTCTCTCTCATCATTGATGTTTCTATCTTTCCCTCTCCCTCCCTCTCTGAAATCCATAAAGAAATATATTTTTTTTTAAAAAGGAATCTTAAAAGATTCATATATACTCTGAGCTAGCAGTTCACTTATAGGAATCTATACCAAGGAAATAGGTTGAGATAAATTAAATTATCAGAGAGGGTCTTCAAAGCATAATTTATAATAGCAAAATCCTGTATTATACAACAACAGGCTTATAGATACTGAATAGTAGATGTCACACATAAATATTTGTTGAGTGAATAAATTACTGTGTTTTCATAAAAATATAATGGCATCAGAAAATATGATGTAGTGAAAAAAACAAACAAAATTCTATATAAGCATACTCCTTATTACTAAATATAGGATATGTAATTATAAAAGAAAGATTAAAACAGAAAAAGAGCTGAAAAGATTGTTTCTGAATGGCAGGAATATGAATTTTTATTTTCTTTTTTATACTTTATTATATATATTCAAAATTTTATAATGAGAATGTATTTATTCATATGATCAGAAGGCTGGATTCACCAATATGAAGATTTAACTATAAACCAAACATATCCTTCATATCTCTGTCCTACATATTCTTGCCTTGACCAACTGCCCGAGTTTACCTTGGTCCAGAGTCACTCCCATTCATATCCAGGTTGAGTTCTCGGGGCTTAGTAAGCTTGTTATCAGCAATCAGTTCTTTTGAGTTAAACACAGCTTGAGTTCTTAACCTGTAAAAATAAATTCAGAGAAAGTTTTCTCCTGTGGAACCTAAGAAACTGAATGCTAATCCTTGAAAGACCATTTTCTTATAGCTATATTATCCAGCAATTATTTTCAAATTAAAAACTATAAAAAATACTAACTACACATTAATAAAGACAAAGCAGTTTCATAATAATTTAAATTTTTTTTACTTATAGAGGAGTGGGGGAAGGCTGAGTTGGTTAGAATGTAATTTAAAAACTCAACATTATAGATGTTTTAAGAGCACTTTAAATCTCTTCTCTACAAACTTAAAGCTTTTCCATATCCATTTTTAAGCAAGTGTATTTTGGTCACCAGAGTCTAAAGTGGGAATTCTAATAACACTAATTAAAATGACCCTGACCATCATATCTATAGCTGCCATTTCAATTCAACATAACACTGAAAATACTAGCCAAAGCAATTAGACAAGAATAATAAAAGGTATCCCTGTTGGAAAGGAAAAAGTAAAATTGTCTATTTGCAGATGACACAATCTTATATTTAGAAACCTTGACTTTACCAAAAACTGTTAGAATTGTTAAGGGAAGAACAGTTTATTTACTTGTTTATTTTTTAAACTAGAGGCCTGGTGCACGGATTTGTGCACAGGGGTAGGGTCCCTCAGCCTGGCCTGCACCCTCTTGCAATCTGGGACCCCCTTAGGGGATGTCCAACTGCCGGTTTAGGCCTGATCTAAACCAGCAGTCAGACATCCCCCGAGGGATGTAGAAGTGCGCCAAGCAGCAGGCAGCCAGGGAGAAGCCTGAGCCGGAGCCGGGCGCTGCACAGCTCATGCTCATCTATGCCCACTGCGCATGCCACCACTGCTTGGTAACACTGCTGCAGAGTCAGGAGGGGCTCCCGCCGCCGCAGCTGCGCTTGCCAGTCATGAGCCTGGCTTCTGGCTGCGCAGCATGCCCCTTGTGGGAGAGCACTGACCACCAGGGGGCAGCTCCTGCATTGAGTGTTGGCCTCCTGGTGGTCAGTGCATGTCATAGCGATTGGTCGGCCGGTAGTTCCAGTCGTTTAGTCGTGAACAGTCACTTAGGCTTTTATATATATACATACGTTTTTATTGATTTCAGTGAGAGGAAAGAAGAGGGAGAGAGGGATAGAAACATTAATGATGAGAGAGAATCATCAATCAGCTGCCTCCTGCATGCAGCACACTGGGGAATGAGCCCGCCACCTGGGCATGTACCCTGACCAGGAATCGAACCACGACCCCCCTGGTTCATGAGTCAATGCTCAACTACTGAGACACACTGGCCAGATGGGAAGAACAATTTAAATGTTGGTAAGTTTAAAAGAATTGGTTACTGAACAGGAAAAGATTGAATTTAGAAGGTCCCATTATCTATATATATAAAAGCCAAGCAACTGGAACAACAGAACAACAGAAACAACCGGTTGCTATGACACGCACTGCAGCAGCCAACTGGCCATATCGGAGCCCCGATCAGCGCCCCCCCCAACCTCCTGCGGCCCCTTCCCACGGCCGGTCCCACCCCCAATCAGCCCTCCACCCCAATCAAGGGCGGGGCTGGCCAGCTAACCTCCCGCAGCACCCCCCTGGCCGGCCTGGCCCCTGATCAGTCCCCCCACCCCGATTGGGGGCGGGGCCGGCTGGCCAACCACCCATGGCCCCTCCCCCTGGCCAGCCCGGTCCCCCCATCCTGAGTGGGAGCAGGGCCAGCAGCCAACCTCCTGCATCCCCTCTCCCCTGTGGGCCCAGCCCTGATCAACCTCCATTGGGGCAGGCGGCTGGACCACACCTGTGCACAAATTTGTGCACCAGACCTCTAGTTTGTTATATTTTACTAGAGGCCCGGTGCATGAAATTCATGTGCGGGAATGGTCCCTAGGCCTGGCTGGCAATCAGGGCTGATCAGGCTCCCCGTCTCCCCGCCTCTTCCTTCCCTCACTGCCCGTACACCACTACCACGTGGTTTCTTACCTCCTGGCCTCCTGGCTTCCCCGCCTCTTCCTTCCTTTGCTCTCTCAGCGCCCCACCACTGCCACTGGTCTCCCACCATGTTCCGTGCCACCCCCTGGTGGTCAGTGCACGCTATAGCGAGCAATCGAACTCCCGGTCTCCCGTTCGAACTCCAAGGGGACTATTTGCATATTAGCCTTTTATTATATAGGATGTTATAGTGGAGAAACATAAATATGGAATGATGACAGCTAATCATACTTCTTTACAATTGGATTCCACACCCTGAAATCTCAAGCTTTTACTTAATGCCTAATGTTCTTTACAATGACATCAAACAATGAAGGATTTTGTATAATGGTGGTATCATTAAAAAATATTATCGTTGGAATCTGGCAAAAATTACACTGGACTCCTTAGTAGTAAATATTCTAAGCCAGGGGTCCTCAAACTTTTTAAACAGGGGGCCAGTTCACTGTCCCTCAGACCGTTGGAGGGCCGGACTATAGTTTAAAAAAAAACTATGAACAAATTCCTATGCACACTGCACATATCTTATTTTGAAGTAAAAAACAAAATGGGAACAAATACAATATTTGTATTTGCATGTGGCCCGCGGGCTTCACTGTCCCTCAGACCGTTGGAGGGCCGGACTATAGTTTAAAAAAAAACTATGAACAAATTCCTATGCACACTGCACATATCTTATTTTGAAGTAAAAAACAAAATGGGAACAAACAATATTTGTATTTCCAAGGAACCTGTTCCTACACATTTGTTGCAGCAATGCAGAGTCATTTTATCCTGTGCTCTCCAAGCTACAGGCGCTGCTGAAAGAACAGGTAGGACTCACCAATTGTAGTCCAGGCGAGACTGATGAAGCTGCTGCTGTTTTAGGAGAAGCTTTGTCTCCTGCTTGGCCAGCAGATGCTGAAGGCGCTCCTTTTCAATTTCCAGCTCCATTTTTTGAAACATAAGTTGCTGCCTTCTATCTTCTGATAGCTGCTTTTTGAAATCAATTTCACTGGGCTGCAGTACCTCTTGGCCATGCATCAGAGATGCCCAGGAACGCCCACAATAATGGCATGATTCTGGGTGTGTCTTGGAATATTGAGGGGCCATGTCTGTAGGATGGCTAACGGGAACATGATCTGCATTTTCAGGAAGTCTATCAGCACAACACAGTCTAGACGGAATGGGCTGAAGGTGCTGGCATTCCTTCATCTTCAATGCCTCTGAAGGAACTTTCTCTGTAGGGACTACATCTGCTAGTTTTTTCCCTGGGGATCCATAATCACGTGTTCTGGTTTCTGATGGCATCAAGTCAGGATCCTCTTTGGGATAATGAAGGGCTGATGGTTTCAAAGAATTATTTCTGAACTCCACAAGGGGTTCCGAAGCTGAGTCCAGGTTTTTAGGCCTTTGCTTGGTTTGATAGTAGGTTTGTGGTTTGGCTACACTCAAGTAGGAACCATCCAGTTCCACAGATGAAGACGGGAGAGTGCTCTTCCTATTGAGTACCTAAAAGGAACCACAAGACCAGTTGTCAAATAGGAGCACAATGAAACAAGTTATTTCTTTTGGCTTTTCAGAAATTAATTATATATTTTCACCAAAATAAAGCTGTTTTATCTTCTTAAATAACAAATGCTAGTTTTTACACAGCTACTAGTAAAGTAACACATGCCACAAAGCTAAATCCACTTTCAAACAATCGAGATTTCAGTAAATCCGTAAGGATGAGAAAAAGAAATGTTGCTACTTGCTGCTTAAGCAAGATTTCAGGAGTTGCAAATAATGAGGGCTACATAAAATCAACTTTGAGAAGAGGCAAAAAAAATATAGCATTAAATATTAATATCTTAAAAGGTTTAGTTTTGAATACTAAGCCAGGAAATCCATTGAGCCACCTTAAATACTCTTTGAAATACTTTTTGATTGGCCATTACACAGCATGAGATTTGATGTAAAACCTTTCACCTTATACTAATAGAATGTAAGTTACCACTAGAAATTGGATGAGTTTTTATAAGTATTTTTACAGAACACAGATAAAACCAACACTTTCAACAAAATATGATTCTAATCAAAAGTGGTTATTTAAATACAAAACATTTAATTCCAGCTATAAACATAAGTGATTTTTCAATTAAGCTGTTCAAGTGATTATAGTCTGATAAAACCCAGGCAGAAAGGAAGCAGCTGCAAATTACCTTTGACAGTCGAGCACAGTGAGCTTTCCCAGCATTTTTAGCCTCAAGCTCGTTCTATCAGGGAGAACATAACTTGGTGTAGATCGTGATTCTCAAACTTTAACAAATATCAGAATCACCTGGAGGGCTTGTTAAATGTCAATCCTGGCTTTCATGCCCAGAGTTTCCCTTTCGGGAGGTTTAGGACAGAACTGAAGAATCTGCATTTGTAAGAAGTCACAGGTGCTGCTGTTGCCGCTGCGGCTCTGGGACCCACTTTGAGAACTACTGTTCTGTATCATGGAATATCTGATTTCTGTATCCCTCTTCTAAGGACTGTTCTGATTAAATTGGGTTCACTCAGGTAATCCTGAACAATTTTCTCATCTCAAGATCTTTAAAGGAATCACATCTGTAAAGTCTCTTTTCATACAACGTACTTTACACCATATAAAATGACACTGACAGGTTCCAGGAATTAGGACATGGACATATTTCGGGTGGGGCATTATTCAGTTTACCAAAACTTCTTTGTAAATAATTCATAAACAGTTGAGATGTTCATCTATTCTAGAGACACAGAAGGAACAAATAATTGAAATCCCTAGTAGAAGGGGAATAAAATCCCACCAGTTTACTTAGGAATAGTTGAAAATCATGACTGATTGGTAAAAAATGCCAAACAACAGAGATATACAGCAATACTATGTTTCCTATTCTAGGATAAAAGATTGCTATTACAATGATTCTTAAGATTTTGAGTTTCAAAAGGAATTCTATTAAAATGAGAATGAACGGCATCTGGGGAGGGGATCTGGTTCTCTTCAGGAAGACAGGCCATCCTGTACACCCCCAGATTACATCCTGTACACCCCCACTGAGCAGATTACAGCTGCAGAAAAGGAGCGAGGCATTTGGTGAAACTGATGACAAACTACCTCATAAAAAAAATTAACCTTACTTTACACCGAAAAGGAAGCTGTAGTCCACATTAAGCTTTCCTATTGTGGACTTCGGTAGCACTTACTGTCAACACAAATATTTAACATTTATCGCCTGCTATTTTCTATGGAAAACTATCTTTTTATAGCAGTATTATATTTTTTAAATGACAGATACATTTTTTACTGTTCCAGAAAGTTAAATCAACTATTTTACATTATCACATATTTTCTAATACATGTATGATTAACATAACAATAGATAGCATGTATGTATTCTTTTATATTCTGACTTTTATTCCTGAACATTATTTACATATGTGCATTTTTAAAAATGGTTTTTCATGATTATTAGCTTTACTTTATTTATTTTTTGTTTTATAAAATCTTTATTGTTGAGAGTATTATATATGTCCACTATTTTCCCCATTGACCCTTTTTTAGGCCCCCTCCCAACCTCCCCACTGGCTTTCAGATCTCATTCATATGTGTAATCTAATGAACAAAGTAAACTGATGCACAAAATAGATCCAGAGACATAAAAGCATGGAACAGACTGTCAAATCTCAGAAAGAAGGTGGGGATGGGAGGGAAGAGATCAACCAAAGAACTTGTATGCATGTATGCATAATCCAGGGACACAGAAAAAAAATGTTTTTACTGATTTTAGAGAGAAAGCGGAAGAGGGATAGAAACATCGATGAAAGAGAAACATCAATCGACTGCCTCCTGCACACCCCCTACTTTCTAAAATATGGCATATTTTTAAATAGACTACATAGGAAGTAAAGATGTTGATAAACATGTATGATATGACCCTGTATACATATATGCATGTACACGCAGGGGTGTAAGCATATACACAAACACACAAAATCACATACTATTCCTATGGTAATCCAGGGTTTTCCCATGCTCTCGCATTCTATAAATAACGACTGCAGTGCTGCTTTGTGAAATACCATCAACAAGTAAGCAGTGATGTTTTATAAGTTTCTGAAAATCATTTTTACAGGCCAATCTCTCCAAAAGGAGAGATGTGAACTAAACTGCAGTTATTATTTTTTGTGACAGGTTATTTCCTTTGCACAATGAGGAAGTGATTACTTACAATGTACTTATGAGTTGTTAATCACAGGATTAGTCAATAGTACCAATAGTTCTTATTGGTAATTCCTTTGACAACAAATAATAATTTACTATCATGGCAAGCACCTTGCTAACAATCCTCATACTCCCACTGATAGCATTATAAGAATGAATATCTCAATTCTGTAACTTCAAAAATTTCCCCTGTGCTCTTCATTTTATTGAGAGGTCAGAAATTCAAGACCTAAATAAATATCAGGTGTCCCCCCCCAAAATGTATACACACGTTGAATAACTATAAAGGCAGTGTTTATTAAAATACATTTCATTTCCAAAATGTAATAAAATCTACAGACAGTGTGTATATACTTTTCTGGGACACCCTATATTTCTAAACCTGAATTACTGTGTGTGGGGCAGGCCATTGCATTGGCTGCCGAACATTTGGAATTAATGGGAAATAAGGCCTGAACGACGTGCTGCATTTTTTAAAGTCAGGCTTACATGAACCAGTTATCAAGCTGACAGAGCTACGTAATGCAACAGCTGCACTGTATGTTTTGCCAAAGTCTCATCCTGAATAAATGTTCATTCTCCCCAGTGCAATTAACTCTCCGATACTGGCAGAATTTGCTAGAAGATCATCAAGGTAGATTACCTTCCAGTGTTATGAACTAAATACTTACAGGTGTTATATCATCAGTTATAACTTACAAACTTTTGCATTTACCAACACAACCAGGCAAATGAATCATCTAATTTATGAATTATTTATAAGAAATTCACAGCATGCTCCTGGCGTCATCCATGGCCTTTTCTAGGTCACATGACACCAATTAGAGCTGAATTTTAAATTATTCAATAACCTGAACTCTCTTGTCATTTAACATATAGATATCAATGCAGTAAACAAGTTAAATCTAATGGGCCCTAGAGGTTTAAGCTTCTCTACCGCTCAGCTGAAGCTGTGGGCCATCAGTGAAAGAGAAAAATAACAGAATGCAGCAAACACATTTGCAAGGCTCTAATAACTTATTCTAGCTCCCATAGGGATTGTAGCACAACTTAGGAATATTAAATCTAAAAGACATTAAAGTCAGTAATTATGAGTTTTAAAAGAATATAGGCACACAGTAATGTATAAATGACAGAATACTAGCAACAGACACCAAATGCAATACCAACTTTAGGGTATGTACATCACAGGCCTGCCAAAAATTTTAACAGTAACTACCAGTCTCAGAAAAGGCTAAAACTCATATTCCTCCATCAATTACTACATTTCCTGAAAGTTGGAATTTGTTGAGTTGCTATAAAAATGAAAAGAAAGCATAGAATCACTGACCATAAACTTGAATTCAGGTCAAAAGACCTTTTTTAAAAAAAAAGAAATTATTTTTATTGATTTCAGTCCACAGGCCGACACTCTATCCACTGGGCCAAATTGGCCAGGGCCAGGTCAAAAGACCTTGATTAGAATTCCAGTGCTGCTGCTACTTAGGAGTCCTATTATTTTTGGCGAGTCATGTTAGGTCTCTTGGGCAGTTTCCCCATAAATCCTTTTTCAGTTAATAGTGTCATTCAATGTGTAAAATGATACTCCAAAACAAATACAGTCCTAGAATTATTTTAAAAATGCTTAAAATAAACTTGTTTCCCTCTGTTCCATACTTCAAGGAGCTGCTCTGGTGCTAAATGTGAGAAGAAAAGGTTAGGACAACAGACATTTTGGGAGAAATAATTACTTTTTCTAAAGTCATTATATGGAAAAATATAGAAATGGACACATCTTCTATAGCTAAAAGGCAAGTCTTGTATATCTGTCTAACAATAGAAGGGAAAAGTATATATAAACAAAATACTATGAATAAACACATTCAGTATATCTTTCCACTCTATAATTTTACCTAGAAGTATAGGTTGCCACCTTGGGGAGGGCAGGCAGGATGAAGATCTGGAAGTATCTGCCAGATACTGTGCCAGCTGCCAGGGATACATTTTATGTGATAAGGTCTACAAAAAGTTGAGAAGTATTAGTGAGATTAGTTTTGCCTTTAGCAGGGTGGGGGAAAAGCTGGGAAGTTTTCATAGGAGAGGAGAACTTTAAACGAAATTCTGGAAGGCAGATTTGAGTTTATTAATGATAAAGTTATGTGTGAGGATGTGCTGCATGTGCTGGGTAAGACATTTCAGGTAGAAGGGGAAATATGGGTAGAGAATAGAGATCGTGAAAATGAGTATGTATGGTGACCTCTAAGTAGTCCAAAGCATTGTGAACAGTGTGATGGGAAATGGATAA